AGAAGAAGATTCGTCGCCGCACGGGTTTTAAGGGAGAAAAAGGCGCGCGCGGGACTCGTAGATATGGGAAATTCAATCCAAAAAGTATTGTTGGACTTCCCAACGAGTCGTCGCCCTTCGTTTTGCGTGAAAGGGGGCGGGTACACACGTGGTATCTCGTTTTCGAATGAGGTCGCGTCGACGCTCGCTACACAACTCCGAGTCCGACGTGGAGGGCCTCAACCGAGTGACATTTTCCTTATGTTCGTCCTCGCCGCGTGTGCGATAGTGAAACCCCTTGGTCTGACAACGCTCGATGCGGCGACAATCGTTGCACAAAGTATTAGGCCAATGAGGCTCCACTGCCGCCCACGGGACGACGATCAGTTCGTTAAAAGGCAATAACAACGAATATGGCGGAAAGTGCGTATCGATGATAACAAAACCCGCACCAACGAATCCAGAGCACCGAGTTTCGGGAGGAAAGTAGTAACGCCCTCCGATCTTGGCGACGGCTTCTCGTACGTCCCACTAGCATACGTGTGTCCTTTCCTCGTTGTACGGGAAGGGGCGAAGCGGGGGCACAAAAAGTTGGTGCCCGGTCGGGTTGGGGCCGTCAGTCCACATGGCAACAAAGGTAAGCACAAATCTTAATCATACATCATCCGTCTATCAATCCAGGCAGCCCAATCATTCAGTCGCTCAGCCAATCATCCCTTCAATCATGCTACAACAAAACCTTCAATCACGACTCACTGCATGCATATATCGAAGCGAGAGAAACAAGGTCACCATAATTCATCCATTATGATATGTTGCGACCGGAGAAGGGAGAGTAGGGACACAGACTAGGAGGGAGAAACAAGTGGAAAGCAATCACAAAGTGTCCGGCGATCTTGCCTAGAGATGTCCTGGCTTAAAAGTCGAGCAATCAAAAACTCACATTCGAAGATACAACTTTGGAATAGAAAGGAGAGAAACCACTGCTGTCATAAAATTCCACCATGGCCCCGGGCCACGCACTCACTCACTTCCGGCTCGAACGTCTCGCTTGCACTGACGATCCTGGCCGTCACGTGCCAATCCACCATAGCCATCGTCACCCCACCGACTTAGCCTCTGCGCGGCCCTGCTCGGATCCCACAGTCTGTTGGGCGATCCAGCATGCCGAGCGCAAAGACTACAGCCCGCTCGTCGGGACTTTTCGACTCGCACCTTCCTTCATACCATCCAGCCACGACTTCCCGGAAGCGGGCTGATGAGTCGAGAGAGAGATTTTCGAGAGCGCTTGCGGAATTTATAGCTGCGGAAAGAAGGATAGATGCTAGGAAGGGTTAGGACTGAAACAAGGAGAAGTAGGAGAAGACTCTGGGATTGCCCGTCGAAAGCCATGTCGATCCTTTGGATCCCAGCTGCAGCCAATCAGAATCGTCATGAATCAAGAATTCTCCTCTTACACGGCGTGTCTCTTAAGCTAGAGGGAGTGATAGGGGGTCAACCTGGTGTTTCAGCGCGGGGGATCAGAGCGGGAAGAAGAACAGCGTGAAAAATAGCGCAAAACGGAGCCAAGATTCAGACGATCAAGAAGGAGAGAAAAGGCGCACAAGGCAATGGGGAGATGGGAAACGGTTACAGAGAGAGGAGTATGAGCGCGTGGAAGGGAGTATCGAGGACAGCGGGGGAAGCGGGGAGGGGAGGCTCGCATGCACGGCGCCGTCGCGAAGGCAAAAAGGCACTAAAACAGTTACGACTAATTCAAATTGAAAAATACCATATCCGCGTGATAAAAACGGGCGCGTGGGAAAGTCCTACGCCTATTCAGATTTCTGCGAAAATTCCCAGAGCTTTCCAAGATGAAGTTGCGAATATTCATGCGCAAGAAAGGACACATCGGATCCCCCTTATTCCAAATTTCCTATCCATCGACCCAAATTCCTAGCGCGCTCGCTAAGGCGCACGTAATTCCCAGGTAATTCCCAATTTGCAAAAAAAAGACAAATTTCCAAAAATTGATCCGAGGGCCTTGCATATTACATTCAAAACAAGAGACCTCGTTGGGTGGTCATCCAAAATTTGACAAAAAGACAGAGAAACAGGGGGGGGGGGGGAAGATAGCGCAGGTCCGGAAGTTGGCGCGTCACAAACCTGTGTGCAGTAGGGCGGCCCCCATGTTATGTTTTTGCACAAATCAACTCGTTGCATGCATAGTGCAGTGAGGACCAAAGGAAGCCCCCCACTTCTTGCCTCCAATAGTCAATACAACAGCAATGGTAGCCAGCCCTACTATGACGTGGCAGCTGTTACTACTCCCCACTCCTACACATATGTCTACAACCTCTCCGCATGTCCCTTGCCAGATGCTGCTGAAGAGCCTGCTCACACATGTGCTCATTACCAAAACCAGGCCAGCACCACCAGTCCCCCCAGACGTCATCCTCCTCTTCGCTGTCGTCCTCGAACTTCGTCCTCCTCTTCCCTGACCTGTTCGCTGTCCTCCTCCAACTTCTTCCTCTCCTCACGGTAAGTCAATATATATGCACCATTCAGCCACCGGGGGCTGGATATGGATATTTTGATCATTTCAAGTGTTTTTCAGAATGCGAGCACACTACTTGGATGTATTATTTGACCCCAACAACCTGTAGCAAAGTCCTCGTGTGACCATGCGCTGACAGGTACAGCTACACTGAGCTGTGTGTGATCATCCGTTCTTTGTAGACGAACCACAGCCTCGACGATTACACAGGCACAAACTTCACCGCTATCCAGTTGACCTGTTGACCAGCAAGGTTCTACCGCCCGTCCCTTTTAGTCCGAAGGAAGCCTAGGACACTATACAAGTGTAAAAAACGAACTTTGTCGAAGTCTTCTTCGCAATAAAGAATGGCTATGGGTGCACCAAAATTTGGATTTTGATCCGTTCTTTCTGGACCGACCAAGACCTCGGTGATTATTCAGGTATAATCTTCATTGCTATTTCGTCGATCAACTGATCAGCAACGTACGTTCGACTACCCGACGACTCGGCAATCCATCGCTTAGACCTGTCTAAAGCTAACGACTCTGCACATGATGATTCTCAGAATGGAAAACTTGCACTTTCGATGTTTCATTATGACGACGGAGAAGAAGATCCGTAGCAATCAGGCTGCCTAAAGTCCTCCCCCAAGCTAATAACTCCTTACAGGCACCAGCAAGGCGCGTAAAGATGAAGCTGGTGCGATTCCTGCGATTCCTTCCGCAAATGTCTGCACACTCTTTCCCTGAGAACCGGAGACTTCGTTATACAGAACATCCACCGCGCACTTTGACATGCCCAGAGGACCAATCATTCTAGACACTATGCACTACCTCAGAGGCAGTCCATTCGACGAGTTCAGGATAACACTCAATCTATACGTGTAAATGCACCTAGATGTGTCCCAAACGGAAAGAGCTGGTGTGTGTGAGAGAGAGAGAGAGAGAGACAGAGAGAGAGAGAGAGAGAGAGAGAGAGAGAGAGAGAGAGAGTGCTTTCCTCTCCGCTTCCTTGCTGCTGCTGCGTCTGTTTAAAGTGTTGTGCTTGTCCTTCCAATGACCACCGTCCTCGGCATCCTCTTCCTTCCAGCCCTTCCTCCTCCGCTATCATCTACTTGATGATGTTCATGACAAGGCGGCGAGAAACAGTTAGCAATATCTGTTCTTCCTTCCTTCCTTCCTTCCTTTTTTTTCTTCTCCTCCTATTTGCTTCCTCACCTCTGTCTGTGTCTACTTTTTCTATCCTCTCTTTCTTTCATTCTTTGCGTTTCACTCCTCCATGTCTATGCTCCTTTCTTTTCGTTCTCCTTGTGCCACTTATTCACCTCTCCTTCATCCTCTCCTTCATCCGCTCCTCCTCTTTGATTTGCTACCCTCGTCTTCCTCTCTCACCACCTGAGTTTACTCTGCCTGTTCGTCACACTCATCCCCTGACTTTATTTCTCTTCTTTTTCCCTCACACACTCCTCATCCTGTTGCCCCTCCGCTCCCTACGCCGCTCTGCAGAATTGGCGTCCTCAGAAATCCGCGCTTCGCCTCTTTAGGGCATACTCACACTAGGCCCTCAAAATTGCAAGATCGCAAAATGAGCGGCCAGATCGAGTCCCTGTAAACGAAGGACTCTATCTGACCACTCATTAATCATCATGCCATTTTGCGATTTTGACTTTATTTCTCTTTTTTTCTTTTTCACACACTATTCATGTTGGCCCTCCGCTCCCTCTGCGGGGTTGGCGTCAGAAATCCGCGCCGCGCTTCGTCTCTTGAAGGCCTACCGGTAGTGTGAGAATACTCTTACTGGGCTCCGCTCTTCTTCCCCCGATTGTTTGGGAAGAAACGAACGCAAAAAGAGGTGGGGCGATTTCACCCGCCACATCGTAATACACGTACGTGACGGCGTGACATGCGGTCTTCGTGGATGGTTGGGGAGAGGGGATGGCCAGAACAAAGGCCAGACGACTGAACGGATGGATGGATGGATGGATGGATGGATTACCTGTGGTTAGGTCCGTGGATTTATGATGGGATGGAGACGGGTAACCGGGTTAGTACATGGAGGAGGAACATCGGAAGAGGGGAAGGGGGCAAGGAACGATGAAGGTCCACAGACAGGTGTAAGGAGGATTGACCGTGTGAGCTCCATCATTAGTCGCTCTTCTGACATCGTTCGACCTCCACGAATCTCGCCAATGGATCGACAGTACAGATGACCACACCATTTAAGTAGAGTTAAAAAGAAACCGAAAAGTGGAAACTGTGGCTGTGACACACTTTTAATAGGCAAAAAAAAAAAAAAAAAGACAAACTGGCGCTGATGTCATTGCTCGACTTTCAGAATGTGCAAGTTTAGCGGGGGGGGGTTGTGGAGACTGTGGCCCTTTTTTTTTATTTAGCGGCTTTTTTTTCTTTTTTTTTTTCCGGCGGCATTTTTTGCCCTGGAGAACTGCGAAAGCTGTGTGCCTATTCCAAACGCTACGCTAGGTGTGACCCAGGAGCCGTTGCCGTTCTTTTTTTTTTTTTTTTTTCTCAGTTGATGGGGTTGGGCGGGAAAGTTTCTCATTGAGTCCACAAAAAAAGAAAAAAAAAAAAAAAAAAGGCCGTTGGCCGTGGGGCCTCGGGTGTCGATCAGGGACACACTCGTTCACGGGCTCTTCTTCTGAAGAGCCAATCAAATCAACGCATCTGGATCGTCCGTTCTGTGTGTGCAGCAATCATCCTTCCTGGAACCTTCCTGGAACTTCCTGGAAACTTCCTGGAAACTTCCTGGAAACTTCCTGGAAGATGACGAGAATTCGTGAGCATCGATGTCATCGCCCTCCTCCGTGCGGTCGGGATGTCTATGCAGTCGGCAGGCTCATCAGACTTCGGCTGATCGTTTTGGCGGGACTGGCTTTTATGATCGCACCGCCGCCACGTGGAGAGTGTTCCTCTGGGTCGCTGGGAGCCGTTGATTTGCCAGGCTTTCCTGATTTGGAAAGAGGTACTGCGGCGGGAGCAGTGCATCCGCCGACGGATAAGGTGGAGGTAGCCCGTCGATTAATCGGCGGGGACGGTGACAGATTACCTCTCGCCCCATCGGACGACTGCGATCCACTCTCTCGTTCCAGCTGTCATAGAGAGAGTGTGAAAGAGCGCGAGGAACATAAGGTGGGAGGAAGGAGGTTCTTGAGGCCCGTGGTGTCGAGGAAGGACGGCGGCGGCCTCAGGAAAGATGATGGTGTTGGTGGTCGTGATGACGACGATAGACACAGCCATGGTTTGGAGAAGGATGAGGAGGAGGAGGAGGAGGAGGGAGAAGAGAGATGGCGGCAGAGGAATTTGATCGTCGATGGGGGAAGATCCCGCGGGGGGAATGCAGCAGCAGGAGGAGGAGGAGGAGGAGGAGGAGGAGGAAGAGGAGGTCGAGGTGGACGGAGAGCAGAGAGAGGAGAGGGAAAAGATGCAATGCGCACGTCGAAACGGCGGCGAGCCTTGGGCACTGGTCCAGAGCCATTCAGCAGCAGCAGCACGAATGCAACTACAAGGAATGTTCCTCTGGAAAGGGTAGTGGGTGGGGCGGCGGCATCAGCAACAGATTTTCCATACCAGGTTGCCATTTTGCTAGAAAAGGGTGTCCAATTTCAGTGCGGTGGAGCGATCATCGACCCGTTTTACGTCATTACCGCAGGTTGGTTGCTGCCCACCTTCTGCGCCTTTTGCTCTCTCTTCTGCTTGTAACTATTCCCAACTCTCCTTTCATCCCTTTGCAAACTCTCTCTCTCTCTCTCACTCTCTCTCTCTCTCTCTCTCTCTCTCTCTCTCTCTCTCTCTCTCTCTCTCTCTGAGTGCACATTATGAATGTTCTGATAGCATCTCTCTCTCTGTCTCTCTCAGACTCTCAGAGTGCACATCATGAATGTTCTGAATAGCATCTCTCTCTCTCACTCTCTCTCTCTCTCTCTCTCTCTCACACACACACACACACACACACACACACACACACACACACACACATACACACACAGACACACACTCTCCATCTCCCTCTCTCTCTCTCTGTGAGTGCACATNGGGGGGGGTCTAAAACTGCGCCAGTTAGTTATTACCCGCAGTGGCGCTTGAAAGATTTAGGGGGGTCGCCTTTTTTGCTCTATTTGGGGGGAACTGCTAATTTAAGTTGCCTATTCTGAACGTTGGGTGCGACTAAAACGTTCTTGCCCCAAGAGAAAAGAAAAAAAAATCGACAGACTTCGCATGTATTCCTCTCTCCATGCCAACCGTTGGGTAGGTAGGTCGGCCAGCTTTGATACGTCGATCTTTCCACCACGATCCATGGGTATTCACAGGATGATAGCATTAAGAGATTTGAAACATACTAGGTGAGTGAATACATAGATAGGGGCATTCCTCTCTCCATCCCAACCGTTGGATGGGTAGGTCGGTGGCCACTTTTGATACGTCGATCTTTCCAACACGATCCATAGGTATCCACAGAATGATAGCATTATGAGATTTGAAACATACTAGGTGAGTGAATACATAGATATGAGCATAGAACGCTCTCGTGCGCGCGCGCGCGCGCGCGCGCGAGAGAGAGAGAGAGAGAGAAATCGCACGCAGCGCGGCGAGGGTGAGAGAGAGAGACACACACACACACAGACAGAGAGAGAGGGAGAAATCGCGCGCCGCGAGAGAGAGAGAGAGAGAGAGAGAGAGAATAGACAATAGATCGGTAGATACGGTTGGTAAGAGAGAGAGAGAGAGAGAGAGAGAGAGAGAGAGAGAGAGAGAGAGAGAGAATAGATCGGTCGATACAGTTGGTAAAACTTGAATGGGGTTTTGGTGTGATGTGAACAGCCAGGAAAAGACAATCCCGGCCGGTCTCATGACCAAAGCGCGGTTCATATGTGTATGGGCCTCGCTGCACTACTCGACACTCGACAGGTCTGAGCCCTGTATCATCGTCCATATACATTCGAGCTGATCCAACATTTTTGAATGCATCGCGACCATTCTCAGCTCCAGGTACATCCGAATATCGTGTAGTGGAGCGATGATCTATGCTTCTAATTGCGTGATGGCGAGCTGTGAAGTTTCCCCCGGAAGCAGATAACCTTCGGCCGCCCTGGGCCACATGGTGGTGGCTCAAGGGAACGAAGCCGGTTCGAGCCTCTCTTGGCCTTCCCCCGCATACAACGTACGGTCATTATAGCTGTATCTAGACTGAAAGATGCCTCAAATACAGCGATAATGACCGTACGTTGTGTTCGGGGGAAGAAGGTAGATGTCTACCATGGGCACTCCATAATCGTGGTATCCATTCCAGGGTTGGCTTAGCCCTGCTCTCTACTTATGGGGTCTATCTACACTACCCACACACCAAATGTGCGAAATGGAGAATGCATCTCCCGCTAGAACGCGGAAGATACCCCCGCCATAGCGAGGCGAGGCCCTTTTTCACATTTCGTGAGGGGGTGCAGCGAGGCCCTCGGTATTTTATTTCCAGGCTCATCACTGGGTCCTTCTGTGGATCAGAATATTAATAAGGCTTAGTTGCACCACTCGCCATCTGCCAACATTTCGGATGCATCTGGACAAGAAACTCGAATGCACATCATCTCATCCGCCAACATTTCGGATGCATCTGGACAAGAAACTCGAATGCATTCATCATCTCTGCGAATGGAAGAGGGGTGCAATTACTACAGTAGGCCCTTAAACTGATCAGAACAGATACTACACTTGACTTGATCTATTTTTAGCCAAAAGGCCAAGAAAGGTATGTTCTTACTACTTTTGTCGTGCAGCTTCTCTCTCTCTTGACGGTGTGATACGTGGAGATCCAAGACTACCTGCCGCTCCTTCCCCCTCCTCTGGCCCCCTTAAACTGATCAGAACAGACACTTCACTTGATCTATTTTTAGCCGAAACGCGAAGAAAGCTATGATGTTCTGACTTTTGCCGTGCAGCTTCTCTCTTGATGGTCTGATTCGTGGAGATCCAAGGCTGCTACCTCTCCTTCCCCCTCCTCTGCCCTTCTCCTCCTGCTAATCGAACACGGCGCAATTACCTCTCTCTCTGCCATTGTGCATTGCCCCGCGCTGCATTCAGCAGGTGCTAAGGTCGAACACGGCGCCATGACCTCTCTCTCTCTCTCTCTCTCTCTCTCTCTCTCTCTCTCTCTCTCTCTCTGCCATTGTGCATTGCCCCGCGCTGCATTCAGCAGGTGGTAAGGATAAGCAGGGTAAATAAAACAGGGTAACAGCGCAAGAGGGAGAGAGAGACTCAAGCGCTCCATCTCAACCACACGTTCACACATCGCAATCGGATTCGATTAAGGACTCGCCGGGGAGGTCCTCTTTGACGAAGCAACTGTGTCAGCAGCGCGGGATCTGAAGGTAGCACAAGCTATCACTACGGTGCGCCCCCTCTCCCTTCTTCGAGATACTAGAGTAATAACCTCAGCACCTCCGCAAAACTCCGGCAGCTGGATTTGCGGGAACGGCCGCGACGGACGACTGGCACAACACAACAACACCTTCTTCCTTTGGGGCAGAAAAACGACAAAACCTCCCTTTGATGCACAACAACAAGAACAACACCTCCCTTTGAGAGAGCAAACGCTTCGAGGACTTGATTGGCGGTAATCATGGGCACGAAAGGAGGCACAACACCTCCGCTTGACAAAGCACTTGCTCCAAAGCCTGGCGCTGAGGCGATGGCTACGAAAGGGATGACACCCCCAGCTGCAACCGGGGGGCAGCAACAAGAAAACGGCAGCGGGGGAGGACGGATATCAGGGAAAGAGAACAGTGGCGGCGCAGCAATAGCCGCCGCCGCCGCCGCCGCCGGCCCCAACGCTACTGCCTCGATGCCCTCTACTACCCAAGAGGCGGCGGCGGCAGTGGCTGCGGCGGCGAGCAACAAGATTCCTCCGACTGCCCAAGCGGCCGTCGTCGGGGGAATGCCCATCAGCGCGGCGGCGAGCAACAAGATTCCACCAACTGCCCAAGTGGCCGTCGTCGGGGGAATGCCCATCAGCGCGGCGGCGGAAACGGCGGCGGCTCCAGCCGCGGCTTCGCCTGGTGTGAAATGGAACGCGGAAAGCGGTTCAGCAGCAGGCGTCAAATCTGATCCATCAGCCGTCAGATCTGATCCATCAGCCGTCCGATCTGATCCATCAGCTGTCAGATCTGATCCATCAGCTGTCAGATCTGAACAGCCAGGACGGCCGAAGAGTGGCGAGGCGCGCGCGCCCAGTCGCGGCCGCAAATCTGGTAAGAAAGCTAGCCGTAGCCGCAGCAAAAGCCGCAGCAAGAGCCGCGGCCGCAAATCTGGCAAGAAAGCTGGCCGCAGCAAAAGCCGCAGCAAAAGCCGCGGCCGAGGAGATACACGGGGGACGGCAGGAAGAGGAGGAAAACAGCAGCAGCAGGGAAGTGGGGATAAGAAGAAGAAGAAGAGGAAGTCGAAGAAGCAGAGAGAGGCGGAGAGGAAAGCAGAGCAGGAGCGGCTTGCGGAGGAAGCCCGTCGAGCAGAGGAGGCGAGAATCTTGAGAGAAGAGGAGGATGAGAGGAGAAGGGTGTTAGAGGAAGAGCTCGCTCAGCAGGCGGAAGCGGCCAGACTTGTTGCTGAGGCCGAGAGGCTAGCCAAGGAGAGAGAGGAGGTAAAGCCTCTCTTGCGCCGAAGGGAGGACGAGATCCTTCACGAATTGACGATCGCTAGGGAGAAGAGGGATTGGGAGCACTACTTAGCTTGCGACCCGATCCCTGAGCCGTCTATCGAGCCCGAACTGACGACGTACATCTCGGAAGTAAGACGGAGCGACGTCTTGGACCTGAAAAGCACCATGGACCTGGTCCAACAGGTGTACCAGGTGCGGATCTTGACCCAAAATATTCTCCTGGACGCAGAAGCGAAGGAAGACCATCGTCTCATCAAGAAGTACGCCGAGTACACGACAGAGCTGAAGAACCTGATCGACTACCGCATCGACAAGGCCTGCGCCAACCTTCTCCTTGAGGCCGAAGAGATTTATCACACCTCTGGCGAGAATATTTTTACCGCCTCCACTCCCAACTTGAGGATCGGATTGTGGATTAACCATGCAAAGAATCCCAGGCTGAAGACCATCGAGTTTCCCGCCATCGGTGCCGCGTTAGAGATCCCCAAATCGCTCGCTCTGGCCAACGTGGCAATTCGAGTCCAGCAGCAGGACATCGATCATCTAGTTCATTCCAGCGACAAGGACGCATCCATGCCAATCGGAGGGCTCATCACAACGGACGTGCTAGCCGTGCCGCCAGCACCCAAGGTAATCAAAGGATGGAAGATACGCCAAATCACCCCCATGAACACCTCCGTGGTCAAGCTGCCTTATCCAATTCCTCCCGCGGGCGCCGACGAGGCAACCGTCGCGTCGCTGCAGGCGCCCAAGATGGGATTCCGAGTGCAGCTGCCGCCTCGCGTCGTCGTGCCTGGCAAGCGCCCCGGCGTGGCAAGCTGGGATCCCGACGAGTGTAAATGGAAAACGGAACCTATCAGCGACATCACCTACGACGAGTCATCCCGAACTTTGCACTTCCAATCCATCAAGATCAAGACGTTGGCTATGGTCCAGCCACGTGTCCGGTTCATACCTTACTCCTACTGGGCCATTCGTCCGACGTCGGAGTCGACGGCCATCATGGTCCTCCACGCCGGCGTGCCCAAAGTGGCGGAAGTGAAGATCGAGATCGGGACGGGATGGTGCAAGCTCATCAACCCGGTTTATCCAGAATGCAAAGAACTCGTCGGGATCCCGTTCAGCCCAAGGGTTTTGCTGAAAAGACTGTCGGAGAGCGGGGTCCACCTCATGCCGAAGGACGAAGACATGCAGTTTGTGACCAAGGACTTGCGGGTGAAAGACGCGGAGATTGAGAAGTACACCTGCCGAGACATGGCATTACTAGCTCCGTCGTTCACCATCGGACACACACGCTGGAACAGACGAGCGGACGACGACACGTGTCTCATCCGCGTGTTGGAGATACCGGAGTACAAGTTCCCGCGCAACATCGACAAGAGCAAGCTGTCCAAAACCATCATGTACAAACTCAAGGGCAACATCATGATCGATATCAATGAGAAGTCCTCCGCGTTCCGACAGGACCCCCTTGGGGAGTATCACGCAAGCCTCATGGTCACAATCAAAGACCACTGCAACGAGGAGAGCATGGATAAAATCAAGCGAGGCTCGGCCCAATTCACCGACTGCGTCAAGCAACTCGCTTATGCCCTTCGCTTGCTCAGCTTCGGATACACAGACCCGCAGGTCACAGAAGGACAGTACAGAATGATCTACGTCTAGCCGTTTGTGCTCAGCTTTCCACACACACACACACACACACACACACAGAGGAGCTAAAGCACACACCACTCGCCAACCGCCAACATTTCGAATGTGCACCTTCGACCAGCCGTTCGTCCGGATACATTCAAAATGTTGGCGTTGGGCGAGTGGCGCGCAGCGAGCCCCACACACACGCAGGTGACAGAAGGACACAAGAGTAGACACGCGAGTATACAATGTCGCACGTCTACCGGCGACGTGTGGTGCTGCGATGCTGCTCCACACAACCCCGCCCCGACGTGTCCGCTCAACACGCGGCGATATGCTGCGTGACCACCATGCACGTCACCCCGCCCACACTTGTCTGTTCGACATTCTTCAATGCTGCTGCGATGGCCCGACGCTTTGTCTGGTTTCATTTTCGGCAGCCTCGCCACAGTCGAAAGAAGTTGAGCCACAGTCAAATCAAGTCATTCGAGATCGACAAATACAAAAAGGTCATTAGAGATCAACAACGTAAGCAGCGCGACTCGCAATGTACGACAATCAACGAATCCGTTCGTTGACATGTACATATGATGCACACTACACACGCAAATGACACATTCATAGTATAGAATATGTATCGACTGTATCAAGGGATCGGAGTGACGGCGCGTGTGCTCACAGCTACCCATATATCCGCCTCGAAGTGAAGGGGCCGGGGGGGAGAGAGAGAGAGAGAGAGAGAGAGAGAGAGAGAGAGAGAGAGAGAGAGAGAGAGAGAGAGAGAGAACTGTTTACTATGCTTCCATGTATGCTCATAAATTTAGTCGGTGATACGCAAGTTGGTTAGCCGGCGAGAGTTCGACAAAACTGTCTATCACAGCTCGCCTCCCTTGCTTCTTGTCTTCGCTCTGGTACCTGTTCATAAGCTCTTGTATGTATACATGTATATAGGTATATAAGCACTTGTATGTATACATATATATAGGTATATAAGCACTTATAAATACATATATATGTGCATACGCGCGCACACACACGCCCTGACTCCCCATGCTGGTAGTAGGAAATCGTAGTAAGACACACGAGCTAGGTACTTAGAGTGCGACATGACAGAGGCGCAGACGTTGCGGAAGAACTGAGCAGTGGTGATGAGAGCATCGCCTTCAAACGTTCGAGGAGAACGAGCGGCATTGCAGCAGACCTCCCTCCACTGTGAAAGTTGAGGTCCGTAGATGGAGTATCTGCTTGCGTGACAGATGTCACATCATCCTGTAACTGGAAGCCAGTGGCGCAATCCTGTCTCTTCCCGATCTGCGACGGCTTCCCAAACGGCAGACTATGTATCATCTACGCGTTAGGAAAGTGGAGGAAAGAGTAGCGACCAGAAGCACAGTGACACTACGTCTCTCTCTCTCTCTCTCTCTCTCTCTCTCTCTCTCTCTCTCTCTCTCTCTCTCTCTCTCTCT